TAAATGGACATAAATCTCTTGAGTTGAAACAACAAACCACAGCAGTTCAGTCAACTAATACATTTCAATCAACTAAACTAAAGTAAAAGTTATTTAGCAAGAGTTTTTTAATCAAGATAACTTGATAATGTTTATTCACTCAACTTAAAATTTTAAGTTGAGTGACGTGTACAGCTGCTAAGTACAGTTTGGTAAACCTACCCTGCAGCGACAAAGTCCACAATGTTCTAAACTCTTAAACCTACGTAATTTTAACAACATACCTACAGTATATGTACTACAGAGCAACTACAGCAAAATTTTATATAAGAACGCACCAGCTCTGCAGAAGCTCGGTTCTGTTCAGGCTCAGTTCCTTCAGCTACCCATCTAGGTTGTTGTGCACATGCTGCTGCTCCAGGAAGGACACTCTGTGGGCAAGGCTGCCCAGGATTTAGTCCTCCACCTCACACAGTCCGGACCAGCACCACTCGACCAGAAACAGGCCAAACCCTGCTGCCATCTGTCCCCTGCAGCCCCCAGGATCTGGGTCACACTGAGTTTGGATCAACTGCAGCCCAGGTACTCACCAGTGAAGATACTACTAAAACTTGAAGGATGAGTTCAACTTCAGAATTATTTGCAACTTTCCTGCCAGTTCTGTGAGCTTATCGCTACAGTACTTCTGACTTTACGTTGCAAAACTTTCCCTCCATTTGCAGAAAGCAACAGCTGGAAGCAGTGTTGACTTCTGCAAAGTGAATTGATGGCTTCTGGGTAACATAGATCATTTGACTAGCAAAACAATGTAGGTTTATTGAAAGAAAACTACAAAATGGCAGCAATTTTTGTATACAATCTTACAGTACTGTACTTTGAAAAACCGCGAAAGAGCAAGTCTGCAGAGGTCGAACCGCAAAGTAGCCAGGGACTACTGTATAAAGAAAAGCGTATTGGTCCTAGCACTGAACCCCGAGGAACTCCATGACTAACTTTGGCATCAGAAAGTTCATTATTTACATTTACAAACTGAAATCAATCAGATAAACTTTATTTAAATAGTTTTAGAGCTGTTCCTGTAATCCCAATATCATATTCAAGCCTCTGTAGTAAAATATTGTGATCAACTGTATCAAATGCAGCACTGAGGTCTAACAGGACCAGGGAGACACAAGTCCATTGTCTGAGGCCATGAGAATATCATTAATAACTTTCACCAGTGCTGTTTCTGCATTACGATGAGCTCTAAACCCTGGCTGAAACTCTTCAAACAGATTATTTCTTTGCAGATGATCACGCATCTGACCTGCAACTATTTTCTCTATTATTTTGGAGATGAAAGTTAGATTAGATCACTGCTTCTCAATTATTTTCTGTTATGCCCCCCC